TTTTTTTTTTTTTTTTTTTTTTTTTTTTTTTGGAAAAATTAGTGTTACACGAAACTCTTCTATGATGAATGTTTAATCATTAGATAAAAACGTTTCTGTTTTCAACTTTATTTGCAAACTATTTCATATCAAAGCGAATAATAAAGACTGATGCTGAAAGTTTCTTCAATACTTAGGTAATAAACACTGGAAACGCTCGACGGTGCAAAAACAAAAAAGCTTGTCCAAAATAGTGACCGAGTGACCGTTATATGACTCTAAATACCAAAAAATTAAACTTTCTGATACTTCTAAACAAATTTGAACAAAAGTCGCCAGTAAAAAACTTGAGAATTTCGAGAATAAAGACCTCGTAAAAACTGCAAGTTAACAGTTACGAAAATTCCAAGAAAATTCAAAATACATTTATTGATTGCGCCAAAATAAGGAAATGTCATGACCAAATTCTGCAGAATTCATCTTAACAAGTAGGAATTCTTTCAGGTGAGCTCCTTAGCTAAACAACTCTGACATACCCTCTTCAAGAGATTTTTTGTTGCTATAAAAAAGCCCAAGAAGCTGAAGAAAAACAGCAGGAAAGTTATAAACGGGAGGCGAACAATAAAAACTACAAACTTTTCAACTCAAATCCACCGAGTTTTTCAAACTTTGTACTTCGCCAACTATAGTGGTAGGCAGACCAGCAATTCTTTTTAAAGAAAATAACTTGAACATTATCTGTGAAAAAGTTTACTAATTTTATGCTTAAAAACAGTATACGATAAAACATGCAGCGAAAAGACTAGCAAACAACTGGGGAAGTGAAACTAACTTAAGAAACTTTTAGAGTATTTTTATGCAGAGGCAGAGCAAAACTTCGTCTCCAAAAATTCGGACTTTGAAACACTTGGTGAAACCACAAATATCTTGTAGAATGACGCGTAAAACGGTTGTAAGAGAAAACTAGCTTAGATTACTCAATAATCTTAAAAAATAAAAGTAAAAGAGGAAATCAAGTAAGAAGAAACTTAAAAACTGACAAACTTCAATACCGTTTTTTCAGTAAAATAACGCAAAAAAGTAAAGAAACCTAGAAAACAATTATGAGGATAAATACTACAGATCCTAAAAAGTGTGAACACTGAAATCAAAACAAATAACCTGAACTTTCCTTTACCAGCTTCTGAACATCACTTGTGCTATCAACCTTTACTTCGCGATCTTTCTTATGCTTTTTCGAGCTCGTTTTATCCAAAAGCAAACGGTCTCCTTCCTAAAAGCTTGAAACGAATAGAATATCAGAAAATGACTCATAAATTATGAAAGCGGAAAACAAGAGCTCTGAGCCACAGCAGAATATGGCAACAAAGACTGTAAATTAAAACTGAAAATTATATATCAAAGTCAAGTAAAGAATTGGATCCCTTTTCTATATCAATACAGGCCATTAAATCACCCTGTTATAGCAAATAACAACGAAGTAAATTTAGGTTTCACTATAAACATCTACAAAAGTAAGGGAACAAGTAATTGTATACTAAAATATCACAAAGAGTAAATCGTAAAAGACTATTAGCTAATTCAAACGAATTAAGAACAAACTTTATAAACAATTTGATAATTGCCATCTTTACTGGCACAGCGTGGGCAAGCGTATTTCTCGAACGTTTTAGCTTGAGCACGGGTTATCTGAAACCAATAGTTATTTTATATTAATTGCACTAAAAAATTTGAGGGAACTGTTTTGCCCAGTAACCAGCAGCTACTATGAACATGCTCCAATATTTGAAAAAGTAACAAGGTAATTGAAAAACCAAATTTAAGACGTTTTACCAACCGGTAAATTTGGATTTCTAAAAACAATTACCTGAACACACTGCATATGGTACCATTCTAAACAATAATCACAGGCAATCATGGCCAGCCCTTTATTAACTTTACCGCAAAAACAGTGACTTTCTTCTCCATTAATCTCATCACCTAAATTTCGAAGTAACAGATTACTAATAGATATAAAATCAGAATTTTTAACCATTATCGGTTAACAATTTCAATAAGCCGTCTAAGTAAACAAAAACTGAAACCAAAAAAACTAAAAAAGACCCTATTAAAGACAGATTTCGCAGTGATAACGACAGTGTTATAAGAAGCAGAAAAGGAGAAATAATAAAACAGCTGTTGTAAATAAAAAAAGAAACACTTTAGATCAAAATTAACAAACCTTTTTCTTTCTCTTCTCGTGATTCTAAAGAAGTAACGTCGCTAACTGTAGGTGAAACCGAGGAAAGTGTCAAAGAACTTCCAGCAGAAAGTTTATCACCAATCAGTCCAAGACCACCTAATAAATCATTGAAAATCTGAGTCTAATTGTGCTATAATTAGCTAGTAAACCGCTAATCTCTTCAGGAACGTAATACAAATGCAATAAAAATTAGCTGCAATCATACTCACTCCACCCCATCCAAATCTATAGCAACTCTACGTCACAAACTTTTGGTACGAAGCACCAGTCCACTACACTTACGAAATGAAGTAGTTTCATAACAGATTCGCTTTTCTACCGCGGTACAAAAGTTAAAAAAAAAAAAAAATCAACTTGAAAAAGGTATTACCAGGACGTTCAGCGACCTCATTAACGTTTTTATCAACACAGTTGATATCTGAAGATAAAACTGAACGAATTTCTGGAGAGCTGGAAGCTTTACCACTTCCTAAAATAGTAAGTAAAATAAAAAAATACTTTCTCAGGCTTCAAGCTACGAGCTTCACATCGGCTGAGATGTGTCTATAAAACAACGATTCGTTAAAAACTGAGACCTCGACGATCAGAGGTGGTGCCTGCCTCGTTAGCGTTACATCTGCGTTTCATTGCGTCGACTTCGTCACAGACATTACTTTTTTGAACCTCACTTCGAGAAGACCCATCGACAAATGAGGCATTCCCATCCACCACTGATGCTGTTCTTGGTGTATCCATTCACTTACAATCCATAAAACAATTTTTTTAAGATCAATACCAGGGTAAGGAGAAATACTAAAATGATTAAAAATTTCTCAAGCAAGAAGATAAGTTTCACGTTACAGCCAGTACCATTAATAAATTTTAAAGCATACTTATATCTTCTACGCATAATATTTTCCAACAGAAATATACCGCTTCTAAGAAAATTTTATATGATGCATTCAAGTTGTACTAAGAATTCTATTAACAAGCAACGATTCCAAAACTACTCTTTCTAACTACTTTTGTTAACTAGAGCTACTCACCAGAATACCAGAGGCCTCAAAAACAAAAACAGAAAAAAATTGGAACACCAGAACACCGACGTTATTCTGAGAGAAAGAAAAAAAAAAAAAGAAACATATGCATTCAGACTGAAGACTGGATACAAGCACAGACTTGTTGAAGACATCGACTGACAATGGACTTCATAACGAAAAGCAATATTTTAACAGTTAAATTGGCAAATATCCAGTTCAACCGGTGGTTCAGACGTTAAAGCAAAAGTAGGCTGATTACAGCAACTAAATATTTATTGAGCTGCGTCAGTGCCAAATTTTAATTGTTAATCAAAAAGTTAGAGATGTTTCCAGTTGTTGACCCATAAAGAATCTGTATTTTTTCCCATCAATATTCTTTTACAGATAAATTTGAAAAAGTTAGGTGGTTTGCGCGCACCTTTCTTCACGGAAATCCTCTTCAAGAGTTGTGTAAAAGAGAAGTTCATTGCAAGGGAGATCTTTTGCCGATTTTTAATGAGGACTGGTTCCTGTGGAATAACTGATGAGCGACTATACACGGAAGAAGAAATTTCTCTATCACTTTGCATTTTTCTTGTTTCACCTTTCTATGCTGTATTTAACACATTGTTGCTAACCTTCTTCGTTTTTAAAACCATAAAACCCACCCACGTATAAGATGAAGATTTTGAGAACAGGTGTTTTCACTAATGGTTCATGACTACCCAAGTCAACGCCACTAGAACTTAAAACCATGCAAATGTAAAAAAGGAAATTAGGCATGCAGACTTATACACTTTTTAAGCGAGTTTTAGCTGAAAGAAATTAAATTTGTAGGAACACCGATTTTATCTCTAAAACGCAAGAACAGGAAAACTTCAGTAATTTTCCTTATAGAATATACTTTGTATATTCTTTTACTCAACCGAGTAGAAGAAGATCTATAATGAAGTTTCTACGAGACTGAAAATTAAATTTACGGAAGTGGAACCAAGCAAGAAATTTCTTCGCATTTCAACAGAGTTCTGCGGTCATGTACACATACTAAGCACCGACCCTGGTTATTGGACTTATTTTCCAGTCTTCTAGTTTTCTGCATGGAAAATAAATTTTGCTTTTGGCGAGATTCCATCGAAGCGATGGGGCATTGAATTTTGGACAAATATTCTCAACGCACTAAAAATTCTCGGTTTTCTGTGTTTTTCATTTTCTTTTCCGTTTTTTTACCCATAATTTAGTGAAAGATGAAGAGAGTTAGTTGGAAGTGGTTTTCGATGTAAAATCTATCTTACAGTTTTAGTACATGCAAGAGCATTTCTTTGTATATAGGCAAATAAAAAAGATAGCGGAGATGAATCATGTGCTTAAAATTTTCAAAAGAAAAAAAAATCAAAATATCTTACGTTGCATTAATTAACTTAAGCGCTTAGGGAGCGTTAAAGAATGCTGGGTTGGAAATACAGACCACACGGAGCAGTTTTTTTTCCTAGTAGAAAGATGAATATTACAGGAGCTGATAAGCATGATGAAGCTAAGAATATTATTTAAAGAACAGATTTTTCTGTTATTTAAGGAGTATGTTTAGACCTTCTGAACTTAAAAAAAACAGCAAATATTTTAATGAAACGCTAACTCAGAAGTATGGTCAAGATACAATTTTCTGTCCGGATAAGAATGTACTGGCTTTCAATTTTACGAAACTGCTAGAAAATGTTAGGTAGGTAACAATCCTGAATACATCTATTTTTTCTATTGTTCTGTTGGCAGCAGGAAATTTATAACATCCTTTAGATTTTTAAAATTTTCATATTTGAAGCTAACAAGGCGTGAATCTTAATTGACATGAGTGATGATTCTCAATAGAAATAATGTTGGGTTTTCTCATGTTCTCCATTTAACATCAATTATTTGATAAATTCAAATAAGCATAAAACAAAATTATTTATTAAAAAAAACTTAAGAAATTTACAAAATTTGAAGCAGCTGTCGAATTAGACACTGAAAAGTTGAATAGGTGCAGATCTAAAAATGATGACGACTATACCTCACTTCATTTAAATTTTACTTCTTAACAATAGAATAAATTTGTACCTATTCAGCGGACACAGCAAGGTATAGGAAAGTAAAAGAAAAACGAGGAACTACGAGAGTCTTATGACTAGTGGAGATTAAGACTTACCGAACTGGAATGAACGCTATGGAAGCAAATTTCTTCCAGGCAAATAATGCAATATCCAACATTAGCTCAGTGTTTTTGGCATTTTACCAGCAACATTAAAACGTCTGCGTGAAAAAGCCGGAAGCTAAATTTGAAAATTTCTACCGTTTTCCTAAATCTTTCAAACGCCCTTGTGGAAAATCGTCCTGTACTTTCAGCTACTGTGATCTCCTCTGTGTACAAACGAAGGAATAATAGCTGTCATAGAGTTAAAAAGAGTTTGCTGTTCATATGGAATCCTTTGTTGATAATTGAGCTTATCATGCTGGGTTGGCTTTATCGTAAAGTGAATATTGGTTGATGTAATTGTTACCGGTTCGTCCCTTGAAAATTTTTTTTATCTTAGGATAAATAAATGATTTTACCAGCAAAGTTCAGGACTTTTTGCAGTCTGATAATTTGACTGTTGCTAATGGGTTCCAGAATCCGGGTGCCATTCACCAGGTATTGTCTAGTCCTCAACTCTCTGCATTCATTGCCTAAGTCGATTTTTGGTTACACTTGTAACAGTAAATTATTAATTCTCTTTTAATGAAATACACTTCATTTGTGTCAACGCAAATTGCTTTGTTTTCCAAGAATTTCTGTTAGAATTTTTCAGTAATAGCTTTTCAGGCGTGAATGGGATTTAATGAAAGAGTATTACATGAGCAGTGATGTTGATAAACTTAAGGAGGCTGTTGCAATGTTGGTTACATGGCGTGC